CGGCTCGATACACTGGCACTGCGTAGGGATGTTGTATCCCTTTGGATTTTCTATCGAATCTACCACGGGGAGTGGTCTGAGGAATTGTTCTGATGAATTCCTGCCGCCAAATTTCACGAACGCACATCGCAACAAAACTCGATACCATCCACACCACACTAGATGCTCGGTGGTCCAACACTGTATGTTTTACGAGAATTATTCTTCTTCGTACGACTTCGCTGTGCGTGTTATTATATCAAAGAGAAAAATACTGAAGATACGAGTATTATAAAGTATTAATCTCAAATTAAACACAGTTAGTACTATTATTAAGTGGCGAAGCTTGCGAAGTCGCTTACTAAGTGGCGAAGCTTGCGAAGTCACTTACTAAGTGGCGAAGCTTGCGAAGTCACTTACTAAGTGGCGAAGCTTGCGAAGTCACTTACTAAGTGGCGAGGCTTGCGAAGTCACTTACTAAGTAGCAAAGCTTGCGAAGTCACTTATTAAGTGGCGAAGCTTTCGAAGTCACTTATTAAGTGGCGAAGCTTGCGAAGTCACTTATTAAGTGGCGAAGCTTTCGAAGTCACTTATTAAGTGGCGAAGCTTTCGAAGTCACTTATTAAGTGGCGAAGCTTGCGAAGTCACTTATTAAGTGGCGAAGCTTGCGAAGTCACTTATTGATTTCACGATGTCTGTCCGTCTGTCCCACGATTATCTCGAGAACGATTTCGAATTATCAAATTCTGTTTTCAGCAATCGATTACTGATCACCCAGGCATCTGAACCTCCTATTTTGAAACTGATTGCTCAACGGCAACCGTTAGAAACCGCTACAAAGCTGATTGCTTCGCCACTTTCCTATGCTGTTAGCTTGCTAGGTTTATTTATTCTGTGACACAGTTATGTTACCGTGTAGCGGCGGTGTAAGAATATTTAATACTCCATATAATCCCGTAAAACTGAAACACCAAATGGGCTCCACCATCTTCCAAATAATTGCTCAATAATATATTAATAACTAACTGTTCCGTGCGAATTTGCCCGCGTGTAATTTAGTGTTTTAATTTTTTTGCGCGGAACCTTAAATAAGTTTCTAAAATTAAAGTAGCCTAAGTATACTCTTTATAACAGCATACATCTGCTAGTGTAAGTCCCGTCAAAATCGGTCCAGCCATTTCGGAGATTAGCCGGAACAAACAGATTGACAGACAAAAATTTTAAAAAATGAGTTTTTGTTAAATGTAGCGTATATACTTTCATATGCATTGAGTAAAAAGCTGTTATTTTGACATTACAAACAGACACTTCTATTTAATTTATTTGTATAGATAAAACTGCGATTGTCACCCCGCAACCAAGCGTGGCAACTATGGCAAATATCCCCCCTATGAGGCAATCTATGGGGGAGGCCTATGTTCAGCTGTGAATAATAGGCTGTAATGGATGGATGTATAGAAGACAATCTACCAGGAGCACATGACGCACTGAGAAGTTAAATTATTAAATCAACAGTAACATTACAACTATGGCAGATATCGCCCCTATGAGGCAATCTATGATAATATATATCCCCCTATAAGCAGTGGACTATTATAGGCTGTGATGGATGGAGTCATTGTATATATAGGATAAGGGTGATAAACGAGCACACAGTCCACCTGATGGTAAGTGGTTGCTGTGGCCCATAGACATCTACATTTATCCTCGATTACGTATCAAACCGCAGACGTGTTGTCACCCGCGAGGACTAAAATGGAATACCTCGCAGTCTGTAGATGCTGGTACTACTCGAGGGTAGATGTAGATGTTTATAGGCCACAGCATCCACGTACCATCAGGTGGACTGTGTGCTTTGCTTGTCCTCCATGTCATTGCCACATAATGGTACAATCGTAAAAAGTAAGTTTTCAGTAAGTAGCGTCTCCGGTTCTCTACACTCACCATGCGAAACACAGCAGTTTTGCTGCTATTTAACGCTGGTATTCTGTGAGAGCGTGGTCCTTCCCCGGTCGAGCCGACCCATTCGTGCTACAACTATACCAGTAATGTAGATGCAGAATGACTCTACCACGTATATAATGTTCTTAATATCTCACAGCTGGGCACAGATTTCTAATTTCCAAGAGGATTTTGGTGTATTTAGTACGTCGTACTGCACCAATACGTGTTAGTTGAATTCACAGGTCTCTGATATATTTTATTCTCGGATATGCAGATTTCCTCAAGTTTTCCTACACCGCCGAGCGTATGGTAAACAAGTACTTAAAATTACATTTATAATCTCACTGGCGCCGGCGGGGAGAACCCGAATCGCTAACCGGATATCAAGCTCCTGAACCACCATGGCTTTCATACCTTTGATACGACTTAGGGACCTTCAAGAAAAGAGCTTACTCCTTTCTAAAAGGCCGGTAACGCATCTGCAATTCCCATGGTGATGCAGTTGTTCATGGGCGGCGGTAGTCACTTACCATCAGGTGAACCGCATGATCGTTTGTCCGCTCTCCTATTAAAAAAAAAAACTAACGCTATAGTCTATTAAGGTGTCCATTATAGAACATACTACTCCCCCGTATGCAACTATGTGTTACCCAGTGGCAACTGTGGCAAATATACAAGGTAATCTCATAAATTTGCCATAGTTGACACTTGCCGAGCGGGTTGGCAACCGCATTTTTTTTAATCTTAGATGTTACGACACCCATGGGATGATATGGGGTAGTGGATATTCTGACACCGCCACTGCACGGTTTATACTATAGACTTAGAATATACTGGCGTATAGACCGACATAGTGTGCAAGTGAGAAGAAAATTCCTTATGGCAGAAATGCAAGATAGAAAAGGATACCAAATGTCATGACTCTGTAACCGATTTTGAATGACAGTTCGGCACAAGTCGGCACGCAAGTAATAAGCTATTTTGTAATTTTTTAGAGTGTAATAGTGGTTATTTTTAGTAAGTAACTTTTTTCCAAAATTGTTACTTGTTCTGTGAGTGACTGTGGTGTTAATAATAGAAATAGTAGAGAAGAGGAACTCGTGGTTAAGTAATAGTTGCGCGGATCAATAGATCTGCGAGATTAAGTTGCACTTGCCTCGGTCAGTCCATGAATGAGTGACCATTTTCTTAACATACCAAGATTGAGAGAATAGAGAGTGCATCTGTATCCTCAGAAACTTGGTGCACTTTACTCAGTTAAGATCATTATCTTTTTAAAATTCAAGCGGCTAAAATGATAATAAGTTTATTATTACTTTATACTTTTCAGGGACAGATGAAAGAATATAAACATGAAGCATGATGAAGCCTCATAAACATATTGGTCTTTAAACAGAGCGATCTTATTTGACTGATTCCTACAAGTTTACTTACTTAAATTATTAAGTTTACATTCATATTTAAGTCGAATGTTAAAATAAACTTCTATAATGTAATTAATTACTAAATGTTTCTAATTATCAAAAGTAATAGTTATATGAAAAGTAAAGCACCCATTATGTACTCCGTGTCCCCATTTTTTATTTCACCAGCAAAACATTTCATAAAATATAAATATTATAATATACTTAGATACGTATCTACCTATTTATATCAACAATATGTTAGAAAAAAAATTCCGGAAAAACTGTCCGTGGCAGTAAATATTTTTCTCCAAAGATCATACATAGCTCGAAAATAATAACTTTCCGATCTGATTCTCGGGAAGGTTTTTTGAGTTTATCGGTAGTCACCTGGGATTTTATAAATTTGAATTAAAATCCAACAAAAGGCAGGTAGGTTCAGCTTATTCCCAGGAACACTTTATATGAATATTTTTAATTATTTTAGAATTATCATGCTAAAAATTCAGTAAATTTTTGATGTTATTCAATTTCGTACACTAAACAATTGTTTTTAAAATCTTTTTACCGTTTCCTTAACAATCATTTCGATAGTCCTTGTGAGTAAAATGTACATCATCATCTAACGCACACAATGACAAATCAGAATGAGGGCTAATAATCTTCCACTCACCAGATGTCGCTAGTTGTGACTGAGGTAAAATTTTTCGTTACACAATGTCAGTTAATTGAGAAATTAGTTTTAAATAATAGTTTATCATTATCTAGAGTATTATATTAATACACAACACAATGCGTCAGTGATTTGATTTTTAATTTTTTGCACATTATAACTCTTTTTTTTTTAAAAAAGTCGTCTTTTAGTTATATTTATAGTTTGGTTTATTCATTTCTAATGTAATTAATATAAAATATAACTAATAATACATAAAGAAACCTTAAAGATTACATTTTCCTAAGAAATTATCATCCCCGCTATGAAATCTGTCAAATATTTTACCTTACTCTAAAGTGGCGCCGCCCTGGTGGCAGAAAAAGTCGTGGATGCCCTCATTAGTCATGCGTTTTCGAGCTGTCAGGTCGTCTATACGCCATTATTTTCAAGTTTTTTTTTTATAGGATAAAGGTGACAAACGAGCACACAGTCCACCTGATCGTAAGTGGTTGCTGCGGCACATAGACATCTACATCTATCCTCTATAACAAATCAAAATGCAGATGCGTTGTCACCCGTGAGGAGTAAGATGGAATGCCTCATTTCCAGTAAAAAGGGCCTCCGGCCACCTGCACTCACCAAGCGAAACGCGGAGGTAAACCTCTACTTCACGCTGGTATTCTGTGAGGTCGTGGTACCACCCCGGTTCAAGCCGGCCCATCCGTGCGACAGCAAAAGCTGCTGCGTGGCTCTACCACTGTTAAAAGTCTATGTTTTATACTTAACAGAAAATATATGATTAAAATAAAACACAAAACAAATTATTTAACAATTGAAGTTTATTTATAACTTAATAATTACACTTAACCTTCTATTACCTCTACACAATAATGTCTTATGGCCATAGTGGCCACATACCAAATATTATATTTGCAAAATTTTATCACTGTTATAAGTTGCTAACAAGTTGTTGCTCATCGTTTGTCACTGTGGCCACTTTGGCCACTGTGGCCATAAGTTCAGCTCGATTCAGCAGCACAGATTTCTTTAGGGTTAACCTCCACTTTGGTTACGTTGGCTTCTGTGGCCAAGGTGGCCAGTAGTTCAGCTCGAGTTAGCAGCACAGGCGCAGAGTATCCCACGCGTTTGCTTCGGTACAGTTCATACCTAGGCGGCTGCTCTGTGGTAGATCGCCCGCAAACTACAATTATGGGATAGCCCATTCTGGAATGAAATAAAAAAACATGTGTGCAGTTAACACGCAGTAGAAGTGAAAACTTCAGAAAACTAAACTTCGAGAGTAAGAGACGAATGCACAATATCGGGACACAGTCTAACTACTAACAGTCAATCATCGAAGGCGTCTAGTTGGGGCACAGATAGTTAATAGAGTAGCAGACCAAACATTCGCTAAAAATGAGGTCAACCACGACATTTTCTGACACCAGGGCGGCGCCAATAGTAAATGAGGTATAATATTTGACAGATTTCATCGCGGGGAAGTTGATTTGTACGGAAAATGTAAAAGTTATTGTTTTTTTCTGTACAATTAGCTATAGTTTATATTAATAACATTAAACCAAACCACAAATATTCATAAAAGTAGAAATTTTTTAAAAAAAAGTTAAAAAAGTGCAAAAATTAAAGAGCAAACCACTGAGGCATTGTTTTGTGTATTAATATAATACTCTAGAATCTGATAAACTTTTATTAACAAACAACTTCTCAATTAAATTACATTGTGTAACAAAAAACCTGTGTCAAATAACGACATCTGGTGAGCAGAAAACTCTTAGCCCTCATTGCGTAGCCATTACGCACACATAGGTAGTGTTGTCATTACAGGGGCGAACCAGGGCCGGTTGCTGGTATTAAATAACGATATTGAAACAACCGATATACTTGCTGAAGATCCGCTAAAATCGATATTCTCTTGGTATAAGAAGTGTAGATTACTTATCGATAAAGTCTTAACGAATAAAATAAGGTGATCGCCACCATGCTGGTTCTATGAAAATTCATTTAAAATTGTATAAACAAAATTATTGTTAAGTGAAATTATGTTTAAAAAAAGAAAGTCCCGCTAGGTTTCTTGCTGGTTCTTCCCAGGACAGAGGTATTTTCCGAACCAGTGGTAAATAAAATAATGACTTTCAATAAGTATTATGTAATAATCCATATTGAATAAAAATCATTCTATTCTATTCTATTCAAAAAAAAAAAAGAACTACCCTACTACTCTGGTTACTGTAAAGGGCGACTACAGGAGTATTTTAAGGGGACGATGGACAGCAGTCGACTATCCTCCTTTTGACGTTTTTTTCTTAATTGTGGCATCTCGTAGTTGACCTTGAGAGGTCGTGACTACTTAACCCGACTATCCTCTGGCTGCTTTCAGGTGAAAGCGCCAGGGCAGCCCACGAAATTTAATTTTCTAACGGCGGTATGAAAGAAATTTAAAATCTAAGTGAGAATCCAAAAGTACACACCTCGAAAGCTCATATAATGTTTTGAATAATCACTTGAAGTTACAGTCTATATACGTCCCACTGCTGGGCACAGGACTCCTCTCACTTATGACAGGTTTTTATTTAATCAATTTTTGAATAAACAATTTACTTTTATTAATTACCGAAGCTACAAAAAATTGTTTGTGTTTCATTAACACGAAATTTTCTTTGACTGCATGACACCGGTCATTCGTATTTTGTGACCGAAAAAAAAATAATTGTCAAATAAGTAATAAAATAAAAAATAAATATTAATTAATGAACGGAACGGTTTACAATATTGAAATTCAAAAGGCTTCCTAAGAATTAAAACCTAAAGCTAATAAAAAAGAAAATTAAAGTGATAAATTCAGTTTTTCGAAAGATATCTTGTTCACATCCATACCGACCAACTGACGTCCAAGTGAAATTATTTTCAATAAACTTTTTTTTTAATAATAATCGTAATAAATAATCTTATAACTGCGTCAGAAGTATTCATTGAAGTCTCCTCTTGCTATTGGTGGACTTTTTTATTACATAAGTGCAATATAAAGCTGGTGGAAGTGGTTTAAAATGAGTGGATCACGATTTTTGATTTGGTGACAATAGAGCACTACATCTGCGCCTTGCGTTCGATGTGTGCAAAATCGGAAATATCTATTAGTTGCACATAATCTATAGATAAATAAAATTGAAGTGTCTGTTTGTAATGTCAAAATTACAGCTTTTTACTAAATGCATATGAAAGTATATACGGTACTTATAACAAAAATACAATTTTTAAAGTTTTTGTCTGTCTGTCTGTTTATTTCGGCTAATCTCAGAAACGGCTGGACCGATTTTGACGGGATTTTCACTGGCATATAGCTGATGTCACAAGAAGTAACTTAGGTTACTTTTATTTTAGGAAAAGAATTAGGGTTGCGCGCAAAAAAATTAAAACCCCAGTCGCGGGGAACAGCTAGTGTGTAAATATGTTTTGATGTAATCCCATCATGGTAGATAAGTTAGGTTAAAACTCATAGATGTTTAATACAACTTAAAAGAAGGCTTAAAAATAATACGATAGCTAAAAATACTAACAACCGCCTAAATACGACCGATGTTAAATTCGTACACTTCAAAAATTTTCTCTGCCGTCTTCTTCCCGCAAAATGGAGAAATCGGCAATATTAACTTACATCGACGATACTCTTAATGACGTAATTTTTTGTGTATACCATCTTTGTCTATTCAACTTGTGTGTGTGCAATTTGAAAGTTTCCAAACTCAATTTCAACATGTATTCAAGTAAAAAATTATAACGTTAAATAGGTTATTATTACTAAAAGATACGTTTTATAAACTGCTTATATTGTATTCGAAAGGACTATTTTTATAATTTTTTTTTTGATAACTTTGCATGTTATAATCTATTTTAATTGTGTCTGAACACCAATTGTCTTATTAAGTTATTTAATTTGTTTAAACGTGGTTTTAAAAAAAAAATCCAGTTTTTAATTTTTTATTTCTTCTCGTTGTGACAACCCTGGCAATTTTTATTGCTTACGTCGGCTTTTCCGATAACATCAAACGCGATGACCGACTGTATGTTGTTAGGCTGTGCTTCTTACACTGTGATCAAGAGTAAGATACTTGTAGGGTGCAAGTAATTAAGACATTATAAATTTACAATAAACACTGCATACTGTATGTATTCTATTATATTTATACGTGGTAAAGTCATGCAGCAGCTATATTAGTGGTACAGTTGTAGCATGAATGGGTCGGCTCGACCGGGGAAGGACCACGCTCTCACAGAATACCAGCGTAAAATAGCAGCTTAACACTGCAGTGTTTCGTATGGTGAGTGTAGAGAACCGGAGACCCTTTTTACTGCAAACGAGGCATTCCATCTTAGTCTACACAGGTGACGACGCATCTACATTTTGATTCTTTTTTGAGAATAAATGTAGATGTCTATGGGTCACAGCAACCACTTACCATCAGGTGGCGGTGTGCTCGTTTGTCACCCTTATCATATAAAAAAAAATTGTAATCTATCTCATTCTCTCGTAGGCTAAATCCTATGAATGTATATGTTTGTCTCTTTTTAGTATCGCTCTTTCGTATCATCTAGTTTCAAATTATGCCCATTCTAAATAAGTTTTCATTTAAAATATATATATATATATATATATATAAATACAATGCAGTTCTAAATTCTCAAGGTCTGGTTCGACAAAATTTAAAATTAGATTATTTAGACGCGCAAGAATTTATACTTCTTGAAATAATATATGCTCGGAAAAAAAATATACGCATGAAATACTTAATTAAATTCTTAATGCAATGGATTTTTTGAATACTTTATATTAAACGAAATAGTAGAGTTTTGCGTTTAGTAGTAGTTAGGAAGACTGCTGCCCATCTCCTGATTTGTTTCCCCCTGTCGCCTGTCCCACGACACCCACGGGATGATATGGGGTAGTGGGTATTCTTACACCACAACTACACAGGCAGCGGCAAAGATGGTTTGGCACAGACACATACAAACACAACTACCAATCAAATCCTCCAGTATACCTGTCAGCAGCCTTCATCCTTCTGCCAATGGTGTGGGTGTGTCGATCGTCCAGCACTACGTCTGAATATAGACCGGCCTCGTTCTCCAACTCCTCACCCAAACCTTGCACCTCTTCCCAACCGTGGACTGCCCACTCTTTCGAACCCTCCTGTAAAGTTATTATTTTTCAAATATTTACGTGGTAGAGCCACGCTGTGGCTATATTATGGTTGTAGTACGAATGGGTCGGCTCGAACGACCACGCTCTCACAGAATACGAGCGCGAAATAGCAGCTTATCGCTGCTGTTTCGTATGGTGAGTGTAGAGAACCGGAGACCCTTTTTACTGGAAACGAGGCATTCCATCTTAGTCCTCACGCGTGATCTGCATCTGCACTGACAACATGCATCTGACAACGCGTCTGCATTTTGATTAGTATTTGAGGTTAGATGTAGATGACTATGAGCCACAGGAACCACATATGACCAAGTGGACTGTGTGCTCGTTTGTCACTCTTATTGTATGAAAAATCAACCGCCACAATAATGAAATACTGTAGTAGCAAACGTTTTTTTTTTCTTATTTCTCAAAAATTTAGATATCCTCACGATATTGCCCATCACCGTCGAGCACGTGGTAAATAAGCTCAGCAGATGAATGAAAAAGCTCAATTCGCCTTCCCCCCCATACGGGTTGCAACCACAATCTTCCTTACATTTTTACAAATTGTTATTTGAATATAATGTAGTCAGGGAACAAGCTTTACATTCGAGAACAATCCTTGCATACAACTATGGCACTCTGAACGGTTATGAAGTTTTGGTCCTTCGAGCAGGATACATAAACATCAGCCAGGATCTTACAGATGGCTTAGTTTTGAGCCTCAAGGTCTTAATTCAAACTGTGCCAGTGGCAATTAACTTCTTTAACAAACAATTTATCAAATCTGAGATTTATGGGTTCTCTAAGGAAACGAACACTTAAGTTTTCTCTTGTATTGTAGATATATTTTACACACATAAATTGCACATGGACAAGCATTCTCTTAGCCAATTGAGAGGATTTTTAACCTATAAAAGAAGCGTGTAGTGACCGGTTGGTGTCGTAAGAGGTGACGTGGAAAGCTGAAACAGAAGATGACCAGCAGCACCTTCCTGTTAACAAGTCAAAATAATAAAAAACTGCCATAGTTGCAACGCTTCACTGCCTATTAACCGTGGCAACTATGACAAAATCCCTCCTATGAGGCAATCTATGAGGAAGCCCTATGTTCATGTGTAGAGTTTAGGCTAGGTTATACTGGATACCTTGGGTCCTATTATGAGAACGCGGTAGGGGGCTATAGCCTCAGGCCATCTTAAGGCCTTATCATTGGCCAGAGCTTCCACACTTGCTGCAAGCAATCTGGAAATAAAACAAAAGTAGTACAAGATTTCACAATAATATTTGAAAAGTACAAGTAAATAATGTACCGTGTACTGACGGTGTAAGGATATCCACTACCGCATATCATCCCGGGGGTGCCGTAAGAGGCGACAGAGAGAAACAATTCAGGAGATGGGCAGCAGCGTCTACCTAATAACGGCTAAAAATAAAAAAATGCGGTTGCCAACGCGTGGCTAATTATGGCAATAATCCCCTCTATGAGGCAATCTACAAGGGAGGCCTATGTTCAGTAGTGGACTTAAATTTTAATAGGCAGTAATGGATGAATGTATAGAAGATAATCTACCAGGAGCACATGACCCACTGAGAGGTGAAATTATTAAATCAACAGTAACATTACAACTATGGCAAATATCCCCCCCTTATGAGGCAATCTATGGAGGAGACATAGGTTCAGCAGTGGACTTTAATAGGATGTAATGGATGGATGTATAGAAGATAATCTACCAGGAGCACATGACCCACTGAGAGGTGAAATTATTAAATCAACAGTAACATTAAAACTATGGCAAATATCCCCCCCCTCCCTATGAGGCAATCTATGGAGGAGAAATAGGTTCAGCAGTGGACTTTAATAGGCTGTAATGGATGGATGTATAGAAGATAATCTACCAGGAGCACATGACCCACTGAGAGGTGAAATTATTAAATCAACAGTAACATTACAACTATGGCAAATATCCCCCCCCCCCCCCCCCCCCGTATGAGGCAATCTATGGAGGAGACATAGGTTCAGCAGTGGACTTTAATAGGCTGTAATGGATGGATGTATAGAAGATAATCTACCAGGAGCACATGACCCACTGAGAGGTGAAACTTTGTGGTGGACTTTAATAGGCTGTAATGGATGGATGTATAGAAGATAATCTACCAGGAGCACATGACGCACTGAGAGGTGAAATTATTAAATCAACAGTAACATTACAACTATGGCAAATATCCCCCCTACGAGGCAGTCTATGGGGGAGTCCTATGTTCAGCAGTGGACTTTAATAGGCTGTAACCGTAACAGTAATCACATATCAAATTTGAAGACCAAAACAAGTGTTAATTATTAATTATGTTTATCAGCTTTGTAGACATGTGATCAATCGTTTAACAATTCGGTCATTTATCCCGGCTCGCGTAAAAGATGGACGATTGCAATCACATTTTTGAACGATCTGGAACAAATGATTGACAGAACCTTTTTAACCTGTGAACCTGTGTAAAGTGAAAGTACACGTAATTCTGTTAATGATTTTTTTTTAATTAGTGCCCAATTAAGTTTAGTTATAAGCTTATATAATGTTATATTGAATTGCCAGTGCTCACCAATAGTTGTAAAGAAATGACAAAATAAATTAGTGATGGAACGATTTCGATTTCGATTAATCGATATCAACGATCATCTAACGATCATGTATGACTTTAATTTTTAAGGAACTTAAAGTCAATTGTTAATGTATAGCAGAAAAACATGTGTGCAGTTCATACGCGGTAGAAGTGAAACGTTCAAATGAAATGTAATATATAAAAAATAATTTGTGTTTGTTCGTATTTTATGCGCTGCCATACCGTTCATCGGATTACGGTAAAACTTTGTCAACTTATTGCTTGCACTTTCGCGAAGGTTATAGACATAGTACAATTAAATTACAGTAGATGGCACGCGTATCGTACCGACAAATTTATTTGAAGTATTATATATATATATAGGGCTTCATCACCAAATGCAGAAATCATCCGGTCAACACACTGTTTTTGTGTTAAACCACTTCGAAAGTCATAATAAATCATCGCTCTTGAATTTTCTCGAGTCAATTCCATTTTCTCAACGACTAAACAAGTTTGATAAAACCTTGTGACAAGACCGAGAATCTTTTTTTTAAATAAATAAATGGTATTCGATTTTTAAAGCCAAGGAGTTTTCAATTAAAAAGATTTTAATATGACGGCGATCAACTGCCACTCGTGGGACAGAGACCCACCCATAGCCCCGCTTGGTGCCGCCACTGGAATTTTTCATGTTGGCAACACTTATGTATACGGCAATCGGAGCCATATATTAAAGATGGGCCAGATTAAGAATACCTTTAACCGACAAGCATGTATACGTAGGTATATGGAAGTAAAGAAGGCGAGAGAGATGTGTCAGGATCACACCAAATGGAAGTGAAGTCCGTAATCACTGGCTACCTATCTGGGTGACAGGCGTGAGTGTTTATGTTATGGTAACACCACGGAGCACATACAAAGAGGAGGTGTTGTAATTAGATTTCATTATGTAACAACGCGTGACAATATTCCATTCCCGATACTTTTAGTGCAGCCTATGTATTTCTTCTGGGGCTGCAACGCGTCGGGTACCAGCTAGTAAATATAAAATAAAAATATTTCATGGAAAATATGATCATTTTTAATCATAAGCGAGGCGTAACATAGTTTTTGTTTAGATAAAAGAGTATATTTTTTTAAAAAAAGTAATTTTATATTCCAAATAAATCCTTATTTTTAGACAGTTATATTGTTTATTTTAGTGTAATAAATCAAAATTTTCTTTCGAGTAAAGTTGCTTTGTAATAGCGCCATCTACTTCATTCTATAGGTAAAGTCAAATCGAACAAAAAACCATGTGTGAGTGTCGTGGAACACACGGTTGGAACGAAGTTCCTTTCGTAGTATATTATTATTGATACACGTATTATATTATTGATTATCATATACAAATAAATGAATTAGGGCATCCACAACTTTTTCTGCCACCAGGGCGGCGCCACTTTACAGTGAGGTAAAATATTTGACAGATTTCATAGCGGGGACGATAATTTCTTAGGAAAATGTAATATTTAAGGTTTCTTTCCGTATTGTTAGTTATATTTTTTATTAATTACATTAGAAATGAATAAACTAAACTATAAATATAACTTAAAGTAGATAAATTAAAAAAAGAGTTATAAAGTGCAAAATATTAAAAATCAAACCACTGACGCATTTTGTTGTATATTAATATAATACTCTAGATAATGATAAACTATTATTTAAAGCTAATTTCTTAATTAACTGACACTATGTAACGAAACACTTTACCTCAGTCACAACAAGCGACATCTAGTGAGTGTTAGATTATTAGCCCTCATTACTAGCGTCTAATGAAGCGTCATTAAAAATAATATGTCTTTCATGGCAAGATACAAAAATGTGCGAGGTGCTATAGGAAGGGGGTCGTGACTGAAAAGTTTTACACTTTTTCTCGCCTAGCCCCCATCCGTAAAATTCGTACCGTGCGATAAGGAACTTCGTTCCAAAAATTGATGGACTCTCAAGGTGGTACGTAAAATAGACGCTAGATGGCCTGAACACCACTAATTTAATATAAATCGGAAAATTATGAAATCGTGCATTGCTATGAATGGATTGTATATGACAATTTTATACAATATGGTCAAGTTTATTTAATTTAAAAAAAAAAGTTATATTAACCATATTTGAAACAACTATTTGAGGGAACCGAGATAAAAGGCGATACTGTATACTGTATTCTAGCTCATTCTCTCGCAACCTAAATCCTATTGATGTATATGTTTGTGTCTTTTCATTTCATCGCCTTTCAAATCACAACGAAACTAAAGTTTTCATTTAAAAAAAATACAAGTTATAAAAAAGGTACAATTGGCGGCTTTATCGCTTAGAAGCGATCTCCACCAGGCAATCACATTTCAGCTGATATAATGACCCGTGAAAAGGGGTAAGGGTGTACGCAAGTTACATACCTGGTGATTCCGATGCCGTAGCAGGACATGTGTAGCGGCGTAGAGGCCGCGTCTACGGCGGCGTAGTGCGCGCGTAGCGGCTCGCTGTAGCGCGCGCCCAGCACGAACGTGTGCCCCACCTGCACACGCACAAATTTTTTCTCTTTATCGGGATTACTAACTGTTTAATGTAGAACTAGCTTATATATATATATATATATATATATATATATATATATATATATATATATATATATATTTACATCCCATGATTTTTATACCCGCCAAAAGTTGATAGAGGTCAGGCATTAAGTCCGTCTACATTTTTTTATAGGATAGGGTGACAAACGAGCACACAGTCCACCTGATGGTAAGTGGTTACTGTGTGCCCATAGAATTGCACAAGGACAAACATCCAGACCCGGAACAATTATTTGTACGCCATATAAATACTTGTTCCGTGCAGGATTCGAACCCGCAGCCCCCAGCGCTCATTGCTAAGCTACAGGGCCACAGAGCCACTTATAGATGTGGATAGCTGCTATTTTACGCTGGTATTCTGTGAGAGCGAGGTCCTTCCCCGGTCGAGCCGACCCATTCGTGCTACAACTATACTACTAATATAGCTTCAGCATGGCTCTACCACGTAAAAATTTATAAGGACCGTGTATTGTAGCATTTACTTGGGGGAGACCTTTGTTCAGCAGTGGACTTGTGAAGAGTCTAATGATGATGATGATGGTACATTATATAGTATGAAGTTGAATAAATAAAATCAAATTCTCACCTCAATACTATTGACTAGTTGCATCTCGCTCGCACACCGTACGCATTGTCTAGAGGAGTCTTGTTCAGAACGCATCGCAGATTTACATTCAGGACACAGTTGCAGCGTATCCTCCCCGGCGTCGGCGAGCAACTGCCACTCGTGGGACAGAGACCCACCCATAGCCCCGCTTGGTGCCGCCACTGGAATTTTTCATGATGGCAACACTTATGTATACGGCAATCGGAGCCATATATTAAAGATAGGCCAGATTAAGAATACCTTTAACCGACGAGCATGTATACGTAGGTATATGGAAGTAAAGAAGGCGAGAGAGATGTGTCAGGATCACACCAAATGGAAGTGAAGTCCGTAATCACTGGCTACCTATCTGGGTGACAGGCGTGAGTGTTTATGTTATGGTAACACCACGGAGCACATACAAAGAGTAGGTGTTGTTATTAGATTTCATTATGTAACAACGCGTGACAATTTGCGGGGTGAGGGGGTGTTAAGCCCCACCCACTTTACTATTTCCAACTACGGATAAATAGTAAAACTACTCGCATCGTTATATATCGATGTTGCAATGTAGATTAGCTACCTCGACGATAGATGGCGGCATGTTCACAAAATGATTATAAAAACAATAAATTTAACGATTAAAAATTCTTTAGGAATGAATGCAAAAAAAATTTCAGCACCTTCGTATGATTATTTTGCCAATTCTGAGCTCTAAGTACCTTTATATTTTTATTCCCCATGACACAAGTGTTGCCATCTAGTGTCGAATATATTTAATTACATTTGAAAGCCGACGCAGAGTTTTTTCTAGAATCTTTCTAATAAATCAGGTATAAAATTACTTACAAATGAAATGTAATGCCATCCATAGCATCAGAGCGTCTATCTGAGTCATTTTTACACGATAAAACACAACACTTCATCCTTTTCTTCTTAATACTACGAAAATACACCGATTTGCGATTTTCGGCACATAAGAGCACATGACGAACGCTGACAGAATACTAACGTTAAAGCCACGCCCACTGTGATGACGTCAGGACCTAGTTAGAATCACAGTGCACAGTTGCTTAGGCCGTCTCCTCTTTGTATTTGCTCCGTGGGTAACACTTACAATCGAACTGTAAATATTGCAGTAATATCTTTTGGCATTGTCATATTTTGGGTCAATTCCAGAAGGGCCTAACCCCTAAAAAACAATTTCTTTATAAGTAAGGGGGACACAGCCCACCTGATGGTAAGTGGATGCTGTGACTCATAGACATCTACATCTATCCTTGATTAACCTTTAAGTACCGACGTGCGGTCTGAGAGGCCCCAGCAGGCACTTCACTTGCTTGTTTACCCTTTTCCCGCGTAATACCGATCCCCGCTTTTAAGTAGCTGCAAGGACAGTACCCACGTTAACTTCGGAGCAGGAAGTGGTGCCTTTGCACGCGCATTTGGTGAGTAATTACAATTTGAAGTTCCGACGCGGCCTCTCAAGCCGCACGTCGGCACTTACGTAAGTGTTTTGTTTTATTTTTTGTTAAGATAAATATTTATTTTTACAGATATTGTGAACTATGAATATACTAGAGACTTCAAGTAATAAAAGAAATGTTGTTGTAGTATAGATCTGAAATAGCACGACTCTATTAACCGACAGCACAGACGGTTAGTGCTCGATGTAAGTTTCACAGTACGCGAGCAACCAGGGTTCAATCGCCGCCGGCGCCAATGAAATTGTTAATTGCAATTTTTACTTTGATTTTTTTATATCTAATAGTCAGTTTTTTCCCCAAAATTCAAGGCAAATATCATGGTAGTCTCATATTTAAAAATTTAATAAAGCTGATTTCCTTTTTATACTTATTTTTTCATAAATCCCTTTATTTTCCATCGTAATGCAAAGACAGATATTTAAATCATCACTATCTTTAAAAAGCGCTACATAATATAGGCGGCCTCTCAGGCCTCACGTCGGTTAAGAATCAAAATGCAGTAGCGTTGTCACCCCTGGTTACTTAGATGGAATGCCTCGTTTCTAGTAAAAAGGGTACCCGGTTCTCTACACACACCGTATATAGCAGCATTAAGCTGCTATTTCACGTTGGTATTCTGTGAGAGCGTGGTCCTTCCCCGACCGAGCCGACCCATTCGTACTGCAACTATAGTATAGCTGCAGCATGGCTCTACCACGTAATATGTCATGATATTCGATTTTAAAAATGAGGTAATGACTTTTTACTACATATTGACGACGTAAGAGAAATACACCACCACCCCCTTTCCTCCTGTGGGAATCGTAAGAGGCGACTAAGGGATGGTCGATTGGACAAACTATAGATATCCAGATCGGCCAAAGAGAGCAGCACTAAGTAGCATCATCGGAAGGATATTTGCCATGGTGGCCATAATTGGCCGGCTCTTTGGCAACCGCAGTTTTTTATTTTTAGTTATTATTAGGAACGCGCTGCTGCCCATCCCCCGATTTGTTTCCCCCTGTCGCCTCTTACGACACCCACTATACTGTGATTTACTATAGTGAAATTCAATTATACTTTGCGTGATTTTCCTTTGTGCGAAACCTTAAAATTCTCCTCGCCACATATTTACACGCTGAGGCATTCCATCTTAGTCCTCAGCGATGACAACGCATTTGTAACTTTCTTTAGTTGGTTACAGGTGTTCATAGACCACAGTAGAAACTTACCACCAGGTCGACTTTAAGTTCGTACGTTACTTCAGTTTTATATTAACTACAGGGTCCTTAGGGATGTCACTCGTGGAGAGTGTAAAGAGGAGTGGGCATAGGACGGAGCCCTGTGGGACTCTAGTTTAAAAACAACGGGAGGAGACCCTGTGAAACAATGCATATTACAGGTCTCGTTAGTTTAGTGGTCGTTAACGCTACTCTTGATCATGAGGTACTGGATTCGAATCCCCGTTCGGGCCAAAAAATCACTTATTCGGTTTATCTATCAAGAAATTCTCACTATCCGCCCGGAGTCAGAAAGGTCCGGAAAGCACGTAAGCATGTCCAGCGCTTGATCTCTCTCAGGTCGTGTCAGTCTACCGTCCCATCGCACTATGAGAGTGAGGCAATAGAGAGTGCACCTGTGCTTGCGCACACACTCGTGCACTTTAATCCTGTCCTACGCAGATGACTAGTCTCCGTTGAGACTGGCCTCCGTGACCGAAACTCGGTCTATAGGAATGAGAAGTTTTCTTTATTTTATGAGACCACTTCCTCACCTCTGTAAATCGGCAGCTCCAAAGTCTGGAACAGTTTCCTGTAGGCGTTAGTTACCCTCTCGTATGTTTCCTTCGCACATTCAGGCGAGGCATGGGCACCGTAAGCGTCGAGCATAGAAAATTCTCTAGACCGAAGCAAGCCGTGCTTCGGACGAGGTTCGTCTCTGTATTTGTTGCTGATCTGTTGAATTAATCATTGATTTTACATTAGTAACAGTTAATGTACACAGAGAACAGACCATAACATACATAGATTACATTAAAAAAACGTGTGCAGTTTTTTTTATAACACTCAAATTAAGTACTCAGTTTCCAGTAAAAAGGATCTTCAGTTCTCTACACTCACCATACGAAACACAGCACTATAAAGCTGCTATTTCACGCTGGTATTCTGTGAGAACTTGAACTATACCAATAATATAACTGCAGCTTGGCTCTACAAAGTTTAAATAGCACGTGTCATTATATCAATAGATGTTTTTTTATTCATTATTTTAACTTTTACCACGACAAAATTCATTAAAATCGAAAATTTATCTAGACCCCGAGTCCGTAAGCCTTAGTTTATTTCTACCATTTATCTAAATGTTAACAAAGTCAACAACACTTGTAACAACCAAAACTGATGTAACACAGCAGCCTTAAGTTTACACGCAGTAAATGTGAAACCTTCAGAAAATTAAACTTAGAAAGAATTAGTTGCGAGTAAAATTGCTTTGTAATAGCGCCATCTACTTTATTATAGGTTATCATGTTATCGAACAAAAGTTAATTGACTCTCAATCTCTCTGAGGTGGCACGTATAATTTAAAATTAAAAAATTTTGTACAACCAACTTTAATATAAATTATTAAGAATAACTCAAATACAATTGGTCAAACCTTGATCAAATTTATATGGGAACACGTGAGAAGCACCAGCTTTCAAATAATAAAAGAATCATCGAAATCGGTTCAACTAGAAAAAAGTTATTATGGCGTAAACACGAAATCGTGTATTGTTATGAATGGATTGGATATGACAATTTTATTCATTGTTCATATTATGGTTAATTTTATTTATTTAATGAAATGAATTTGTTAATTTTATTTAACTGTTTATTTTAACAATTAATACTTAACATCGAAACACCGAGATAATATGAAAAATACACTGTATTCTCTCTGTTATTCTCATTCTCTCGCAAACTAAATCCGTGGTACGCTAATTAAGTGGTTGGGCATCACAGAACTCTAACTTTACTTAAGTAACTTACCATTTCACAATGTATTTTCTTACTCTTTATTAACAGTAACCACGTAACTTAGTAACCACGGAAAGTCCGTTGTGACTTAGGAAGTAAAAAAGATGTAAAGTAATACGGACACTCGCGCGCAGCGATAAAGTTCTATTTAGCTTGCGTGCGCGATTTATCTGATTAATAATAACTATGTAGGCTATTAAAACGTCGGCAAGCGGTCAACATCAAAGGAGTGCAACTTCTGTATGTAGTACTATTATTTATTCTGTGCTAAAGCCATGATATATATAGCTGCGGTGTGGCTCTACCGCGTGAAGAATCTAAGCGAAACAAATGCGGGTCAATAGTCACGAATAAAGCTAATAAACTTAAAGGAAAAACTACTTACTTACTTGATAGAGTAATAAAGGCAATTGCTTGTAGGAGAGCGGTCCAACATCTGCCAGCAGATCTGCCACAGCTTCTTCGTGCGTCTAAAATAAAATTTATAATAATAATATTGCCATTAATGCCGAGGTTTAGTGTTGTTCATTATTCTGTTTAATGTGAAAGCGCCAGGGAGCCCGCGAAATTTAAATTTTCTTACGTTTTTTGCAATTTGCAAGTCAATGTCAGGTTGTATGTTTAACAGAATATGATTCTCGACCGTAGCGAGTATGTGTTTACACAATTATAATCATCAATATAACCCTATCAGAAAATTTGAATTTCTATGAACCACAATGTAGATGTCTATGAACCACCCATTTACCATCAGGTGGACTGTGTGCTTGTTTATTGCTCGAAAAAAACTAACCCATAAATGATGAAATTAATGAGGTCTTGTGATATAATAAGGTAAGGTAGTACCGATTTAATTTTCATGCAGATATCTGCTAATTATTTTCACATCTTAATTATATCTTAAAAAGTTATAAAAATAATAACTTACTGGTGACAAGATGTATTTCTTCCCATGCCGATCTTCAACCTTCATTAACTCCGCCCCAACATCCTGCAACCTTCCAGTCTTTTCCCACAACCTTGCCGCTGTCAGCGAAGGCAGTGACATTCTCTGAGCACCGGCTTCCTCTATACAGCGGATCACGAGAGCCTCCAGCTTATTGAGGACTCTCCGAGCCAGAGGCAGTATAGTGAATAGACCAGAACCTGTCGGTCTGACTAGGCCACATTCTAGTAGCAGCTGAAATGTAAATATTGTAGATTTATTTGATTGAATCAATATTTAAAACAAGCACAAGCATGTATGCATAACGTTCGTTCACTGGTACGTAGACACTTTACTAATAAACACGCTCAGCTTTGGAAAAATCTAGTAGACTGTAGACAAGCTAGGGACGCCCTGCCTGAAATAAACAGTCGTTTAACCAAAGTTCTAATGAGACTGAACAAGCCGCAGATCAGGATAGTAACAAGTGCTATCACAGGACACAGCATCTTTAACAAACATTTATTTACCATAGGTGTTACAGATCCCCTATGCAGGGCATGTATTGGGAGGAAGAAACAGTGGCCCACGTGCTACTGAAATGTCCAGAGGTCATTACATACAGGGCTAAACATCTCGGCACGCCGGGATCACTCACCGAAGTTGCATGCAACATCAAAGAACTGTTCAGCTTCTTCAGGGAGATCTCGTGGCTTGAATAATTACATTATTCCTGTCCTCACACAAAATACGCGCATAGACGTGCAGTTGCGGAAAACAGCCTGTGGTTGAAATTTAGAATCGTTTGGCAGCAGGAGGGGGCAGGGGTGGTGAGGGGAGGGGAAGTGGGGAGCGTCCCCTTACTCCCGACACCACTCCCATTAAAAGGTAATACACCGTTCTTGAGAAAAATCAAAAAGAAAATCCCATAGACCTGAAAGTAACATTTATCGTCTCCGGCAGGAGGGGGGAAGAGGGTAGCAGGAGTGTGCCTTATCAGGAAAAGCCACTCTATCTTTCCCTTGTTGCAGAAAAGTATAGTTTATGAGTAATGTTTTGGCTGTTTTGGCTGCTCTCCCTCCACGCCTACGACTTTACAAAAACACTCTAGGAGTAGGGCAGACAAGACTACGTGGAGTCAGGGCATGTTGGTTTAATTTTAGTACAGATTCAATCAGATCAGATATCTTATCTATAAATTCAAGTTGCCTTCGCTCCCGCCACAACCTTCTAACTTATTATAACTGAAATTATTTCTGGGTGTTCAAGTATTTCTGGGCAGTTTTAAACAATTCGGAAATAAAACAGTTAATATACTGTTCCATATGTAATCATTTCTTTATTGTCTGTAAACATAATTGTTTTTTTTTTAATTCCTCAAAAGGATCTCTTTTATTCCTTATAATTTCTCATCTCCATAAATATTCATACATCAAGTCGATAAAATTTTCTCTATTATTATAATCGTCTTTAGCAATATATCTCGTGACAGAGAGTACAGACAGTAGAATAATGTGACACTAGTCTTACGTTCTTGTTGCACTTACACAAAATTCTGTATGCTATCCAGCTTTCACAGTAATTTTTCCATGTTTTATGCATTTTAGGTTATAATGTTTTTATTTATTTTTTTTGCTAACGGTGCACTACCTTTTAATGTGACTGGTATTATTATAATTGGGGACCAAATCTCTACCAAATAAAACACCTTACTCCGTCAAATTCCAAACGATTCTAAATCCAACCCCAGCCTGTCGTAAACTAAACTAAACTAAATGTATGCGTAGATAAATATGTGAAAGCAGAGAGAGATGTGTATTAGGAAACTAACAAAAAAAAAGGATTGTGCCAATTTAAAGTCTGTAGTGCCTGTCTACCCCTCCGGGTGAGTGGCACAAGAGTTTATATTATATTGTATGTTACCATTAGTGTTACAGCCTATTAATGTCCACTGAAAAATGTAGACTTTCTCATACAGCGCCTCATTGGGATCATATTTGCCATAGTTGCCATGACCGGTAAGCGGATTGGGAACTGCAGTTTTTATTTTCGTTATTAGGAAGGCGTCCCTCTGTTGTCTCTTACGACATCCACAGAATGATATGGGGTAGTGGATATTCTTACACCGTCACTGCACCGTTATACGGGATGTTATTTGAAAATAATTGTTTAACATTTGCAGCTAGTCTAGTTTAGAAAACCGCTCTATAGAGCTACCCAAACAAATTATGGTATTATACTAAAATGTCAATATTTATAAATGTTTTATAATTTATTCATTCATTGAATACGGCCTATTAAAAGTCCACTGCTAAATATAGGCTTCCCGTATAGATTGCCGGATGGATATTTATTATAATAGCCACAAATTAATTGCAGATTATCAAATTAATAAATAATTTAATAATAATGATAAATAAATTTTTACCGTTACGTAAAAATTTATCCATTAATTAAAATTATTAATGGATCATTAATTGATTTCTCCAATAGGGTTACAAGCTGTTGCACAGTTTCTTGTGAAGTAAGATTATGTAGCTTCAATTATATTATCAAAAATTGTTTTTATTATAGATTTTAATTTAATAATATATAGTTCTAATAATCCTTTAGGAATTAATAGAAACTTAGATAAAATTCCCTTATATCCATTTTTTACTTTCAAAGATTAAAATGGATTTATTATTATATTAATATTATTAATTATATTAACATTAACTGCCATTATTTTTACAAATACAATTAGTCACATTCTAGAAATTGAATTTAAAAAGATCAGGGGGCCACAAGTAAGCATTCAAAGCTTACTTGGAGGGGTTAACAATAACAACCGCATTAGTAATGGTAATAGGGTTACTATAATTATTATTTAGCAGGCTGCAGTTACCACACATATACAAAAATTAGATAGGTCTGTGCTATGCAGCTGAATGTAAAACAATTCGTCACACTCAAATTATTTAACAATTTTTTGTAAAGGAAGAAATCTTATTTTTAAGAAACGACCAAAAACTTACCTTCTGGCTTTTACAAGTTATTTCGGTGTTTTTAATAATAGCGTCCTTTGGTATTGTAAGCACTGGTTGAAAAATCTGGGATAGGTATCGCATTTTTTGGAAATTGCTGTTAGTTAATATCAATAATAGAAAAATCAATCGTGTACAATAATTTCAAAATATATTAATTTAAATTTATACTGATTTTACATTTGTTTTTGTACGCAACGTGAATTGCAGGTTATAAAGAGAATCAGCTGATGGCTGCTGCTGGTTGTCATTTGTCAGTTGTCACTTGTCACTTCGTTAGTGTCAGTTCGATTCAATAACACATTTCGTTTACATAAATTGTGATGAAAATAAAATTTTAAATTTATTTTTATTTATTTATTTTATTTTATAGAATAGTATCACATATTTATAGAATATAGTTAATAGGGATTTAAATGTATTTTTATCTTTCTAATGTATTCTTAAAATAAATTGTATAAAATATTTACTTTTAAAATGTTATATGAACAATAACTAATGTTTCCCAATAAGATGGCGCTATTAAGCTTACACAAAATTCTCTCAATAGATGGCGATATCAGGCAGTTACTAATATTTTCTTCGTTATTTATAATTATTTACCAGTATGTTTTATGTACATTTTGGTAAATAAACATAGGACTATATTGTTGGTCACACACCCCGTTATTATCAACATGGACATGGCACGGATGTCATGAAAGATTTATCGTAATAACCACGCTTCATAGGTACGTAGTTTGTGGATATGGAGCTAGAGCTTCAATAACTTTTTCTGCCACCAGGACGGCGCTTTTTTTGACCGGGGTGAAAAATATGACATGGAGGAAAATTTATATTGTTTAGAAAATATAAAGTTTAGCGTTTATTACTGAAATATTACTTATATTTTATATCAATTCCATTAAAATGGATAAACCAAACTAAGGATATACCGAAAAGTAAAATAATTAAAAGAAATTTAAAAAGAAAAATTGATAAAGAGCAACCACTGAGACGTTGTTTTGTGTTTAAATGTACACACTATAAAAATTAAAAAAAAACAACTTTTATTTTAAACGCAACTTTTCACTTATTGTGATACTGTGTTACAAATAGCTTCACTCAATCCCAATTAGCGACATCTGGAAATACATAGTATATAAAGCATGCAATTTTGCAAACGATTTTCTTCTGAATTCGCTAAAGTAAACTTTTTCGCAAAACTGGATCCATTTTAATTAATGTGTCGTTAGAAATAAGACTGAGTTATAAATAAACTTACCTCAAAACTTGAAAACAAGACTATACAACCAGTGCGTTGCTAGTGATTACTTATGGATCTAAAACTTGATGTTTCACTGGTGGCCATATTTTTTTCTCTTTTTTATAGAAGAGGGGGCAAACGAGCATGCGGCTCATGGTATGACTGATGGTAAGTGACAACCGCCGCCCATAACAACTGCAACCCCAGGGGAATTGCAGATGCGTTGCCGGCCTTTTAGAAAGGAGTAGGCTCTTTTCTTGAAGGTCCCTAAGTAGTATCGGTCCCTAAGTAGTGCGAGGAAGAAAACTTCTTGTAAATCGCACAGTGGTGGACCGCCAATCATCCAGATGGTATGGATGGTAACGCAAGTTTTGTCGCGATGTGCGATGTTGAAATTGAGCGGCTGGAATTAGTCCGAACAATTCCTCAGAGCACTCACCGTGATAGATGCGATAAAATACGCAAAGAGATGCCACATCTCTACGCAGTGCCAGTGTATCGAGCCGATCAGAAAGAACTCGGTCGTCGACGATTCGAACCGCTCAGCACTGGATGCGGTCAAGTGGAAGGAGCTGGCACTGGGGTGCCCCGGCCCAGAGATGAGAACAGTATTCCATGTGGGGCCGAACTTGCGCTTTGTAAATTTGCAAGCGATGTGCCGGCATGAAATACTGTCTCGCTCTGCTGAGCACGCCAAGTTTTTTAAAGGCCAATTTGGCCTTCCCTTCCAAGTGACCACGAAACTGCACACTATTCGATATGTCGACGCCAAGGATTCCGATACTAGCTGAGCGAGCAAGGGGAGTGCCTTGAAACTGAGGAGATACGACAAAGGGGTTCTTTTTAGCGGTAAACGCGCAAACTTGTGTCTTCTGGGGATTGTACTGGACTAGATTTAGTCGGCCCCAATCTGAGACTTTGTTAAGCAAAGACTCGACTTCAGACACAAGTTTGTCCTGGTACTCAGCGACGTTTTCACGAGAAATATTGGCACGGCCGGCATATAAGGCATCACCAGTGCTGTCGTCCGCATAGCAATGAATGCTACCAGTTAGCAACATATCATTGATATGCAGGAGAAACAGCCTTGTGGAACACCAGCGTTAATAGGCTTGAAATCAGAGCATGCACCGTCTACTACTACCTTGATATTCCGATCAGCAAGGAAACTGGTGATCCATTTGCACAATTTCTCGGGAAGCCCATAGGAAGGAAGCTTCGAAAGAAGCGCTTTGTGCCAGACCCGATCGAAGGCCTTCGCTATGTCCAAACAAACGGCCAATGCCTCCCCCTTGGACTCTACTGCCTCCGCCCATCTATGAGTCAGATAGACTAGAAGATCACCAGCTGATCGACCTCGACGAAAACCGTACTGGCGGTCACTAATCAGCTGGTGATCCTCAAGGTACCTCATGAGCTGGCAGTTTTGGCAGTTTTGGAGAACAAGGAGGTGATGGCAAATGGCCTGTAGTTGGACGGGTCTGAGCGGTCGCCTTTTTTAGGGATCGGGTGGACCAAAGCTGTCTCCCATGAATTCGGGACTACGCCTTGGGAGTAGGAGTACGGGAAAAGACACGTTAAAACCGGTGCCAACTCCGGAGCACACGTCTTTAGCACAATGGGAGGGACTCCATCGGGCCCACTCGACTTGCTGACGTCCAGGGAGAAGAGTGCTTTGCGAACCGAGCGCTGTGTAAACCGCACATCCGGCATGGAGCACTCACATCGCGGGATGGTCGGCGATGTATTCCCCCCGTCATCTAGAGTCGAGTTGGACGCAAAAAGAGAGCTCAACAGATCGGCTTTCTCCTTTGCGGAATGGGCGAGTGAGTCGTCCTCCCTGTGCAGAGATGGAAGAGATGGCTGACAGAAGTTCCCTTGGTCAGCCTTGGCGAGAGACCAGAATGCACGGGTTCCCGAAGGAAGGCGAACTAGCTTCTCGCCAATTCTGCCGATGTGCTCAGACCTTGCCTTGGCAATGACGCTTTTGAAGGACCTGGAGGCGGAATTATACTTCTTTTTAAGTGCGCTGGTGTTTACATCCCGAGACGTTGATGCGTCAGCCCAGGCCCGGTAGCACTCCTGCTTATAGCGTGATGCTATTTTACAGAAGCGACCAAACCATGGCTGGGATCTGCCTCCGATGGGCACCACAGAGGATGGAATAAAAAGTACCCTGAAGTACCACATCAGCAACAGAATCGGCAACAACGCTGGGATCTTCCGGCTAGAAGCAAACCCGCCCCCAAAGGTAGGATGCAAAAAAAGACCGCATCCCGTCCCAATCAGCTGACCTATAGTGCCAAACACGGCGGCAAGCTGCAGATCGCGACTGCGATTGGAACGTGAGTGGCACCGTATTCCGGATCAGATAATGGTCCGAAGAGCCCAGAGGGGCATCGACGGAGACCTGATATCCGTCCGGATGAGAGGTCAGCAGAAGGTCCAACAGGGAAGTTACATGGTCTTCCACATCTGGGAGCCGCGTAGGCGAAGTAACCAGTTGTGTTAGACCATATGCCAAAGCAAAGTCATAGACAGATCTACCCGCATGATCGGTTAAACGAGAACCAAGCCATTCAGCCTGGTGGGCGTTAAAATCAACGCGTATCACGATCTCTGCGGATGGGACCTGTTGTAGCACGGAGTCTGCAGCCATTTGGACGTGGTTGATGAGTCGGTCTGTGTCGGCATTACCGCTATGGGACCTATAGAGGCACCCGTAGACGCGGGGATGGTCGTCGCTGTCTACGCGCAGCCATAGGATAGACAGGTCCGTACCTTCAAGACTGCCGAGGCGTCGAAAACAGATGTCCTCTCTGACGTATACGCAAACTCCAGCCCGGGGCACAAAGGAGTGTTCCAATTTGTACCCCGGGTAGGAGAGATATGAAGTATCAGCCGGAGAGGACACCTGAGTCTCGGTTAAAAAGAGCAAGGCCGGCTTCGCCGTCTCTAGATGGTAATGGACAGCGTTAAGGTTGGAATGAAGTCCCCTGATGTTGCAAAAATTCACGGATAGCGTGACAGGGGTCGCCTTGGTTGCATTGCTCCGCTTGCCCCGAACAGCATTAGTCGCGAGCGGAATTTTGCCCCCCCCCCCCCCCCAGAATACGCGGGGCAGCCTGAGCACCCACGCTCAGGAGTGAAGTAGTTTGGTCGTGGATGCTCAGCGAGGGATTATCCAGGGGTGCTGGTACCCTCCTGGGGTAGTCTCTTATTTAATTCCACTACCATGTTGATGGGGGGGGGGGGATTGGGCCTCCGGCCACCTGCACTCACCAAGCGCAACGCAGAGGTAAACCTCTATTTCACGCTGGTATTCTGTGAGGTCGTGGTACCACCCCGGTTCGAGCTGGCCCATCCGGGCGACAGCAAAAGCTACCGCTTAGCTCTACCACTGTTAATATGTGGAATATCAAGGTCGAACGAGCTATAGAGAGGGCTATGCTCGGAGTTTCTCAGCGTGATAAACTTAGAAATGAATCCTCATCCTCATCCGCAGTAGAACCAGAATGACCGACATAGCCCAACGGATTAGTAAGCTGAAGTAGCAATGGGTCGACTATAAAGCTCGAAGAACCGACAACCGACGAGGAAGAAAGGTTCTCGAGTGGCAGCCACGTACCGGCCGGCGAAGTGTAGGGCGTCCCTCCACTAGATGGAGTCACGACCTGGTAAGACATGCAGGAAGTCGACGGACACAGGTGGATTAGGGCCGTGCTTTGTGGCATTCCTTGGGGGAGGCTTATGTTTAGCGGTGGACTTGTGAAAGGCTGTAATGATGATGATGATGATACGTCAGTCTTATAAATAAAAAAATGTGTGTGCGTACTTA